TAATTATGATAACTTATATAAGTTTCTACAACAAAAATGTGTATAATAATAATAATATGTCCTATACTTAAGTACCCACATAAATGTCGCATCTGAACAAATTAATTTCATAATCTATATTCCATGACACGAGATGGTGTCTTAGGAATAATTTGTTTTATTATTAATATAAAATACTTTTTTATTGACTATAAAAAAGTATTTTATAGTAACGTAACGTTTAGTAGTAGTTATTCTATCTTATTAACCGATGACAAGTAATTCCTTGGTTTTTACTGACATTTATTGAATTATTTGTGCAATATCTAAGTACACACGACGGCATATGTTTATCAACAGATTTTTTTTAAATCAACGCAACACAACAAAAAAAAATTTCAAGCAACTCTACAAGCGCCTAGCGAGTGACTGATTAAAGTGCGGTGTAAGTAACGCGGTTGAATGGAACAGAGTTGCTGAACGCAGTGTCGCCTCTAGTACGTAGTACATAATAGCTCAATGCAAAATCGGAAATAATCGGAATCTCGGTAACAGCTCCAACAATTTTCATGAAATTTAGTGTGCAGGTTTCGGGGACAATAAATCGATCTAGCTAGGATTCGTTTTTAGGAAATGTTATTTTATCCGTGTTTTCAGGCAATTAAAAATTACTACAATGTCATTAGAATACGAAGGTAAATTTTGCCGGTGCCTTACAGATTATAATAGCTTAAATAGGACATCGGGCGGTACCTTAACCGGTTCGAGTCAAGATGTCATCTTCGGTACGACTTTTTTCTTCTTTTTTTTCAAGTTCCCTTTCCCTTTTTATTTCGAGCCCTTTTTTAGTATTTTTTTTAAAACACAAATAATTAAATTCAAATAATTGCGTTCATGATCTTTTATTTAAATAACCAGTTGAGTTTTTTTATTATGCCGGTAAGATCGAAAAATATTATTCAAATTTCATCAGTATGTAATTTGTATCTAAACATAATTTCCAAAAAAAACGCGATTTCCAAAAAAAAATACCGAGCAAAGCTCGGTCATCCAGGTACTAAATAACATTCAGTCTCGCGCGAACCACCCCCGAGTGAGCGCAAGTGCCGTAAGCGTAAGCGCTGTGTGCGAAATGACGTCGTCTTACTGTAAATGTACTTAGCTATTCAAGTCGTAATATTGTGATTAGTGAAGTCCTGGCCTTTATTCAAAATAAGGCAGATGTGATGGAAGGGGAGAGCACTGTACGTATCTGTAGCATTGCATTTGAAGCAGATGATATTGATAACGCAAAATGCCTCCTTATTGAATCATTGCCATCCGTAAAACGAAAAAATATTCGTCGAAGAGAAGACAAGCTGCGACAATCTAATCAGGGCAAGAAACAAAGAGATCTGGTCGATATAATTTCAGTATTTAAAGAAACAGATCCTGATATTGTACCAATTTTCGTTGCGAAAAATTTGCAAAGAATTGCCATCGATTACTTGCGACCACGTAGACGTTACACGATTATTGAAAGTACACATTTATTTAACAATGATTATATTTTCGGAGACAGTGGGTCAATAGGTCTTGAATTTACGTCACCTGCCGTGATACACTTACAATCAGCTATTAATACAAACGCAAACGACAATGGCGATACAACTATCCCTTTCTGTAAGGACAGCGAGAGCGAGCAAATAAATAAACCTCTCATTCCTGCCGCGAAAGATATGATAAACGAGGCAACCATCCCATTACCCCAAAAAGGCGTGCACGCATTGCAAAACAAATACCTAAATAACAACAACGAAGTGATCTCTCTAATTCCTACAGAGAGAAAGGTTGAGAGCGGTAGGAGGTGTAATGGCAGCGTGAAGGTGAAGGCGGATATTCAGACGTTAACGTCATTAACGTTTAACAATTTCGCAAGCCCTAAAGCAAGTGATAATGAAAATAAATTATCAAATCGAGCGGTAATAGAGTCAAGTGGGTATTATATAGCTTTTATGGCCGTATCTTACGATAAACAAATCATTAGCTGATGTGGTTAAGCAGAGCGAACCTTGGAAGAAAGACGAGCCAAAAGAAGAGTGAATAGTAGTTCAAAAGCGTAGGTTACGTAAACGTTTTGTTGGTAAAATTGGCAAGGCAATTACGGAGCCAGATATGAAATTTAAAGCTGCAGAATGGAAAGTGCCTTTATTTATCTCGAATGTGCATAAGGACACAAATGTGAAGGATATAATAGAATACATAATGTCGAAAGCAAACGAAAGAGTGACATTATAAAAAATAGAAATTAAAAAAGATAAAGGATATAATGCCTACAAGTTGTTGGTATCTAAACATAAATTACTAACATATTTGGATGATAACCTATGGCCAGAGGGTATATCATTATGTAATATGTACATTTTAAGTATTAAGGAAAGAAGATGCCTGATACTGTAAAATTACTAACCCAGGATGAATGTATGTAATACATTCAAGTTTGTAACTTTTAATTGTAAATCAGCCAAAAGGTCCGTTGAATGCTTAAGAGGACTTTGTGAGATAGCGGATGCAATAGCTGTGCAAGAAACACGGTTATGTTTACATGATATAGATTTTCTCGGGAATATTCATCAGGATTTCATGTATACTGGTAAATCAGCACTGGATATATCACTAGAGGCATTATGGCGGAAGAGTGCTTTTAAAATAGTGAGTGTAGTAAAGTGTGACAGTGAGCGTCTTGCAGCAATTAAATTGCAACTACCGGAGTGTACGTTACTTATATTCTCAGTCTATGTGCTAGCAGACTGTAGTGATAATTTAGTTGATTTCACTGAGTGCTTGAGTAAAGCAAACGCAATTGTGGAATGTGAAGCTAATGAAACTGTTTTCATATTAGGTGATTTTAATCCGTATCCAGGTACGCTTTTTGGTAATGAATTATTGAACGTTTGTTCAGAATGTTTGTGGATTTGAATATGCTTCCATTAGACACATATACGTTTTTTAGTGAAGTACATGATAGTCAGCGCTCGCTTGTCCATTATATTGTTACTGAAGCGGCTCAGACTTTAGTAGTTGGCGCAAAAGTGTTATATAGTTCACATTATTTTGATCATTATCCAATGCAAATAGATTGTAACGATTAGAAGTAACAGTGTAAAAAATAATAAAATTTATGTAAATAAGACGACATGGGGGGAAAGAAATGATAACGAAATAAATATGTATAGGCAGATATGAAATGTGAAATTGAGTGGCATAGACTTTCCGCAGTAATTTGCGAAGTGTTGTGATAAAGTGTGTACAGATCCTAGTCATAAGTTAGATGACGTGTATTTTAAAATTGTAGGAGTTCTAGGTGAGGCAGCTGAACAAACTTATATACACAAAATGCATAAGAAATGTGTGATTGGCTGGAATAGGTATGTTAGAGACGCCCACAGAGAGGCGCGTGTAGCTTTTCAAATTAAGCAAATGTTTGGTAAACCATGCGCTGAAATTTTTTACAATAAATGTATAATACTAGACTTAATTTTAAAGGTATTTGAAAAGGACGAAGAGAGAACGAAATGTGAAATATGGGTAAATCAGGAATGTCTAGAACAGGGAAATGAAATTGTATACTTGGGGAGTGCTTTCAGCCGGGATGGAAGATGTGATTTAGATGTGGATAGGCGTGTCGCTGCCGGAAACAAAGTCAATGGTGCCCTGAATGCATTAGTAAAAAGGCAAGGCGTGGTGAAGAGTGCACGCCTTGCAATACATAATGCAGTGTTGGTACCGACTTTGTTATATGGCAGCGAAATCTGGGTATGCCAGAAGAAGCATAAAAGCAAGTTGAATGCAGTGGAGATGCGATCTCTTCGTAAAATGTGTGGCCGACTTAGCCGACCGAAAGCGAAACGAAGAGATTCACAATATGGCAGGATTGAAAGATGACCTTATCACAAAAATTGATAGGGGCGTACTCCAATGGTTTGGGCACGTTGAACGAATGAGTGAAGACCTTGAAGAAAATATATAGAGCGAAAGTAAATATTAAAAGGTGTCGAGGTAGACCGAGACTAACTTTCGAAGACCATGTGAGCAAATTGCTCGAAGAGGGGAGGGTCAAGAGTACTCGGATACCTAGACGTGCATGTATGAAGAAGTTAATGAACCTGAAAGAAGCGAAAGAGGTATGTAAGGATCGTGACACTTGGCGATCTGTTCTCTCTGGCTACCCCGTTAGGGATTGTGCGTGAAGATAAGTAAGTAAGTAAGTAATTTTAAAGAAAAGTTAAAATGGTGTCAATATAATCTAGAGCAAATTCGTGTCATGCTAAAGAAATTTTAGGTGTTAGCGGAGCGAGTGAGATAGCAAATCTTTTCAAAAATTATTTTAAGGTTTTATATCCTCTAGGCCTCTCAACACAATCGATAGATGTGCAATAATAGCAATCGGCGATCAGTGTAAGAATCACAGTAAATCAAATAGATACCATTATTAAAAATATGAAGCGTGGAAAATCTCCAGGACATGACAGGCGATATTAAGACAGCGATATTAAGCATTTGATATATGCAGGTATTCATTTACCTATAGAACGGATATTTTTCGACTTGTTATGTACTCATTACATTAAAAAAAATACAAAAACATTTTAAACAACACTTTAATAGAAACATTTCCTAATAATTAAATGTACATTCAACAAGCGATACAGACAAAAATATCATAAAGCCTAAAAAGTTAAAAATATAAAGAGAAGTTTGTGTTGAAGATAAAGTAGACAGGAGAATATGTAATATAGTAGTAAATTGTATCGGCAAAGAAAAGACAATTCAACGACTCAATAACATTCTATGAACTTATCGAATATTTCAATAGAATATAACATTAATCTACGAAAATAGACACAAAATTGTAAATTCTTAATCGAAATCGCCATCGTCGGTATCCGCTAAAGCGTTCGCATTTTCATTCCACAACTGTTCGTTGAGATTCGTAAGGATGTGAAGAACGACGTGATCTATGCACCGAGACTGCCCGGTCGTCAATTTTCTTCGTCCTCTAGAATTACTTGTAAATTCTGTAGTGCGTCGCTAGCCCTGTATATGTGGTGAAAAAACTATAATATTAAATTTATTTATACATTCATACCGTTACCGTTACAGCCTATGAATGTCCACAGCTGGACATGGGCCTCCCCTCCTAGATTGCCTCAATGGTGGGATATTTGCTATAGTTGCCACACTTAGTCGTTATTAAGAAGATGCTGCTGCCCATCTCCTGATTTGTTTCCCTCTGTCGCCTCTTACGACACCAAAGGGAAGATTCTGTGTGTGCCATTAAGTGTCTGTCAGTGGAAACACACAGTTGTGGACCGCCAAACACCCAGATGGTATGGACGGTATCGTTAATTTTGGCACAATGTGCGACGATGAAATTTAGCGGCTGGAATTAGACCAAACAATTCCTCTAAGCACTCTTCGTGGTTGATGTGATAGAATACGAAAAGGGATGCAACATCAAGGATTGCACCTTCATGTCGAAGGCGACGCTATGATATAAGAGCAAATGAGAGAAATGAAAGCGATCCTGCGCAATCAGATAGGTAGACAATCAATCTAACAGTGGTAGAGCCACGCGGCAGCTTTTGCTGTTACACGTACGGGCCGGCTCGAACCGTGGTAGTACGACGACCTCACAGAATACCGGCGTGAAGTGGAAACCACCCCCCTTCCCATCAACATGGTAGCGGAATTAAATATTAGACTACCCCAGCATATTGGACCCCTGGAGAATCCCTCGCTGAGCATCCACGACTAAGCTACTTCACTCCTGAGCATGAGTGCTCAGGCTGCCCCGCATATTCACAGAGGGCAAAACTCCACTCAAGACAATAACTGTTCGAGGCAAGCTGAGCTACGCGTAGACAGCGACGACCATCCGCGCATCTACGGGTGCCTCTATAGGCCCCATAGCGGTAATGCCGAAACAGATCGACTCTTTGACCACGTCCAAATGGCTACAGATTCGTTGCTACAGCAGATTATCTCTACGAGATCGTGAGCCTCGGCGATTTTAACGCCCATTACGCTGAATAGCTTGGTTCACGTTTAACCGGTCATGCGCGGAGATTTGTTTATGATTTTTCCTTGGCATACAACTGGTTGCTTCACCTACGCGGATTTCAGATGTGGAGGATCATGCACCTTCCTTGGTGGATCTTTTGCTGACCTTGCATCCGGACAGATATCAGGTCAGCGCCATAAAAAAGAAATATAATTCCGCTCCAAAATAATCATTGCCAAGGCAAAGTCAGAGCACATAGGCAGAATGGGCGAGAAACTAGTTCGCCTTCCTTCTGGAACCCGTCCGTTCCCGACGAGTCCATTCCAGAATGCACGGGGCATTATAGTCTCTCTCGAAGGCTGTCCAAGGGAATTTCTGTCATCCATCTCTTCCATCTCTGCACAGGGAGGACGACTCACTGGCCCATGCCGCAAAGGAGAAAACCGATCGGCTAGGTTTTTTTTAAGCGTCCAACTTGACTCTCGATTACGAGAACCGCTGACCATCCCGCGGTGTAAGTACTCCATGCCGGATGTGAGGTTCACACAGCGCTCAGTTCGTAAAGCACAGTCGAAAGCGAGTTGTCACGAGTTGATTAGTGACCGCCAATACGGTTTTCGTTGGGGTCGATCAGCTGGTGATCTTCTGGTCTACCTGACTCATCGATGCATGGAGGCATATTGGATGATCACCAGATTTCTTGCAGATCGGAGTATTATAGTCGTTGTAGACGGTGCATGCTCCGATTACAAGACTGGTGATGCTCTGTACACCGGCAGTGTCAATATTTCTCGGGAAAACGTGTTCGAGTACCGGGACACTTTCTCACTTTCCGATCGGCTCGGTTTACTGGCGCTGCGAAGAGATGTTGCATCTGGTGCGGCGGTAAGGTGCTAATTTTAAATCTGGAGCGAATGACCAGTAAATGGTGATGCTAATGGTCCCAAACAAGTTGGCGGAAGTGGCAATGCCCTTGTTAGATACCTAATCAGCCGGTAAGGGTAGGAGCGTGAGCTGTTGTAAGAAAAAAAAGTAACAACTGAAAACAGCTCTTGCTAGGAAAGAAGGGAAAATGCACTTACTTGGGTGTTGATCTTCTGGTGGTATTTTGCTCAGGCCTTAAGGCGATGACAAATTATTTGCACTAGTGTACGACGTTAAATTACACTATGCAAAAGGGGAAGGAAATACTACCAGCTAATATGTAAAACTAAATGTGCGTTTTGGCGCAACTAGCTTCTCTTTGCATTTTCTTTCGCATCCACCACGGGGAATGCTCTAAGTAATAGTTAGGATTAATCCTAGCCGCCGAATTTCGTGAACGCACTACACGGCTAACCTCCCGATACCATCCACATCATCTGGATGCTTGGCGGTCCACCAATGTACGTTACACTAGGAGTTTTTTTTCCGCGTACGACCTCTCTGTGGAATAGTTTACCAACGGCGACTTCTCCGGACGGATACGACCTAGAGACCTTCAAGAAAAGGGTTTACTCCTTTCTAAAGGGCCGGCAACGCACCTGCAATTCCCCTGGTGTTGCGGTTGTTCTTGGGCGGCGGTAGTCACTTAACATCAGGTGAACCGTATGCTCGTTTGCCCCATCTTCTATAAAAAATGACAAACAGATAGACACGCATATAAAATATTTAAAAAAATCGATGGATTTACTCTACCAACTTTACTGATTTTTTAAATGTAGATGGGTCGCGAAGGGATGATAAAAAAATAACGACAAAATATACATACGGTCCAAAGAATCGGTGCGGCTTATAGTAGTTACGGGACAGATTTGCGTAGCCGTAGCGGTCGACGGTAGGAAATGGTGGTATAGGATCCGATAAGCGTGTTATGGGCACTTCAGGCAAAACAGACTACAAACAGAAACACGTGTAAATATTTAGTGTGATTCATAATATTAATTAGTTTAGATTATACTAAAAATAGGTAAATGCAACTTCAACTGCAACAAAAAAAATAGAAAAATTCACATTCTGTAGTCGGTGCCAAGTAAGACATAGCATACAGACAAATATTATATATATTTATTTTTTACGTGGTAGAGCCATGCTGCAGTTATATTAGTAGTATAGTTGTAGCACGAATGGGTCGGCTCGACCGGGGAAGGACCACGCTCTCACAGAATACCAGCGTGAAATAGTAGCTTAATGCTGCTGTATTTCGTATGGTGAGTGTAGAGAACCGGAGACCCTTTTGACTGGAAACGAGGCATTCCATCTTAGTCCTCACGGGTGACAACGCATCTGCATTTTCATTCGTAATCGAGGATAGATGTAGATGTCTATGGGCCACAGCAACCACTTACCATCAGGTGCACTGTGTGCTCGTTTGTCACCCTATCATATAAAAAAAAATTAAGAAAGTGAATACCAGTTCCCGAGAATATAGTATGATATGCTGATATAAATATACTATTATTAAAAGATGGTTGCACAGCTTTTTAAGGTATTTGTTGACCATAAATATATAAGCTGAATAGAATTATGGCCATCTTTTGAAAGACTAATCATACTCAGATTTTAATTCAAATTACATCAAAAAATTCAAATTTAATTAAAACTTTCTACTTTGCGTTTGTACCGACCAATATAAACACTAATATGTCAGTAGTGTAGTTTATACGTGGTAGAGCCATGCTGTAGTTATATTAGTAGTATAGTTGTAGCATGAATGGGTCGGCTCGACCGGGGAAGGACCACGCTCTCACAGAATACCAGCGTGAAATAGTAGCTTAATGCTGTATTTCGTATGGTGAGTGTAGAGAACCGGAGACCCTTTTTACTGGAAATGAGGCATTCCATCTCAGTCCTCACGGGTGACAACGCATCTGCATTTTGATTTGTAATGGAAGATAGATGTAGACGTCTATGGGCCGCAGCAACCACTTACCATCAAGTGGACTGTGTGCTCTTTTGTCAGCTTATTCTATAAAAGAAAAAAAAATCAGTATATATATTTTATTATTTTTAGCTTAGCTTTAGTTTTTGGTCGGATTTTGTTTTATTAGTTAATTTTTTTAACCTTTTAAGTGAACAAAAGTTTATTACTTCGTTCCCTATCTGTAACAAAACAAGTGGCCTTAGGTAATAAATTTTTATTCCAAATTTATATATTTTTATATGTAATAAATATACGTTTATATGTTAAAAGTTAAATTTACAGCTTATATACGATCCTCTGATCGACACATGCCTTCTTTCTGAGAGGGTTTTCGAGGTCGAGTTCAAGGGGAAGGCCTTGGCAGTTAGTTTAGATATAGAGAAAGTCTTCGATCGTGTTTTTCTTTTGAAGCTTCCATCTTATGGGCTTCCCGAGAAATTGTGTATTGTGTCTTGTGTCACCAGCTTTCTTAAAGATCGGAGCATCAAGGTTGTAGTAGACGTTGTATGTGCACGCTCCGATTGCAAGCCTATCAACGCTGGTGTTCCACAAGGCTGCGTGCTACCACCAACGCTCTTTCTTCTGCATATCAAAATGATGTGTTGCAAACCAGTAACATTAATTGCTATGAGGATGACAGCACTGGTGATGCTGTATATACCGACCGTGCCAATATTTCTCGGAATAACGTCGCTGAGTACCGGAACAAACTTGTGTCTGTAGTCGAGTCTTTACTGACTAAGTTTTGGATTGGGGGCAACTACATCGAGTCCAGTTCAATACAAAGAAGACAAAAGTTTGCGCGTTTACCGCTACGTTGAACCCCTTTGTTGCATCTCCTCAGTTTCAAGGCACACCCCTTGTTGCCTCAGTAAGTATCGGAATCCTCGGCGTCGACGTATCGAATAATGTGCACATTTGTGGTCACTTAGAAGAGAAGGTCAAATTAGCCTCTAAAAAGCTTAGCGTGCTTAACAGAGTTGGACAGTATTTCATGCTGGCATATCACCTGCAACTTTACAAGGCGCAGGTTTGGACCCATATGGAATACTGTTTCCATCTCTGGACCGGGGCTCCCGTGCCAGCTCCTTCCTTTGAGCGCATCCAGCGTAGAGTGGCTCGAATCGTTGAAAACCGAGTCCTATCCGATTAGCTCGATCCATTGGCTCTGTGAAGAGATGTTTTATGCCTTTGCATCTTTTATCGCATCTACTATGGGGTGTGCTTTGAGGCTTTGATTAATTGTTCTGATTAACTCCAGTCGCCAAATTTCATGAACGCACGTCGCGACATATCCATCTACACCATCTGGATGCTTGGCGGTCAACCACTGTACGTTTCACTAGTTTTCTTCCTCGTTCCAGAGGGGTCATCACTCTGTGGAATCGTTTAACACCGGCATTTTTCCGGACCGGTACGATTTTTTTGTTCTTTTTTTTCAAAAGAGCTTACTCCTTTCTAAAAGGCCGACAACGCACCTGCAATTCACCATCAGATGAGCCGCATGTTCATTTGCTCCCTCTTTTATAAAAAAAGTGGACTGTGTGCCCGTTTGTCCCCATTATTTCCCCTGAACTAAGGTTAATAAGATAATGATAAAATAAAATAATTATTGTCAACTTTCAATATATTAAACAAACAATAAAGTTATGAAGTAATTTACTTCATTTTGTAAAACGAATTGATCAATTAGTTTTAGATGTTTTAATGTAAAGTATTGAAATATTTAATTAGAATTATCCTTTTCACTTTCATAGTATCAAATACTACAGTTATCTGTATTATTTGATACTTTACAATACTTTCAACTGATTAAGATGACTGAGATTTAATGTCAATTTGTTTTACATTTTACTATTTATTATGATCGAGATTATTCTTCTTTATTTAAAAAATACAATTTAAACTTCAAGGAGACTCTTTATCTAATAAAAAGTAATCAATGAAATTAGTTAATAATTGACAAAGATATCGAATAGTATACATATGAAAAAAGCACACAGTCTAGTTAACCATCTGCTCCCTTTTGCAACCTGGGTAAAAAAATAACAAAGAACTTTTAAAATTTACAGGGACTAATACTAACTAACAGGCTGTTATAATTTAATGAACAAATGAAATAAGTAATACTAACCCCCTCGACAAGTAAGTTAGACATCGATACGATAACACAAATATGCCTTTGTACTTGATCCGGTATTGGTCTGAATAAGAAGGAACAACTATTGACCAATATTCTCGACTCTTTCTGCAGGATGTAAGCAATGGCATTAATATCCATGAAATAAAAAATGTATAATTAAATCAAGTATTACCACAGTTTAAACACCTTACAGTTGGGAAACGTATGTACTTGTGCAGAGCTACGGTGGAGGTACTGCGGTTCAGGGGGCGGGGTGACCTTGTCCTAGCGCACTGCACTGACCACTGTGGCCTGTATTTACTTTGATTAGTGCGAGTGCAGGTGATTAGTACAGGTGCGTAGTGTAAGTACTGTCCAATTCTGTTTCGTGGATGTGTTTAGTAACTTCAGTTGTGGGCCGTGCCGTACAACCCCTTGCGAATATGTAGATCTCAAGTTTTCTAATTTAGTATAAACTTCTTTACTTTCAAACCCCGGTGTGTTCATAGCTTCACTTATAAGTAGACGTTCCACATTTGGGGCCCCTTTAATTTTGCAGTTAGGATATTTAATACTGTAAAAACATTAACTTTTTAGATACTCCTGCACAAATTCATAGGTTATGTCTTCGGTCTGCTTTATCTTTTGGACACTCGCAGTCCACTCGCAAAAAAAAATAGAACACGCTTCTAATCACTTTACTACGCAGATTACAAATAACTTGCACTAATCAATCGCTGTCCACACGTGTTTATTCCTAATCACTAATCACCTACACTAATCACCTGTACTAATCACTTATCAAAGTGAATACAGCCCTCAATAGGCAATACATGCCGTTGGCGCGAGCGTGTTTAGCATGTTTAAAGTACTTATATAACTAATTTTAAGTGTCGTTTTTGAAAAAAATAATGTCTATAATGGTGAATTACTGTTATACTTATATGAGTTACTAAGTAAAATTGAATTCGAATGACGGTCATGCTTATGTCTCCCTCTTTTTTTTAAAAAATTGTTTATCATAACAATACACTACATAATTAAAATTTAACAATCGAAAACTGAATACATCTATAAACAGAAAGTATCACAAAATATTTGGCTGTGCAACACTTGTAATTGTATTTTTTTCTTGTAGTAAATATACTAAATATTAAAAAATATTATTAAATAATACGTATGTATATAATATTAATAAATAATAATGGTTTTATAATATCGAAAATTTTATTATTTACTTCTTCATGACAACTGGCCGCGTAAATACTTACGCGGGCTGTGACATCGCCTGACATCAAAAGCGTTTCACAACTGTACCGTCTAAACTATGGTATTACTGATTTGATAATCACAATTTTAGGTTTTAATTGAATTAAGGTGTTAATGTTCATACAACTACACTAAGGCACGAAATTGGCGGCGGTGGAGCGATGGCGATAGCGGGGCAGCGTTTCGTGCGCGTCGCTATATTAAACTATGTTTTTATTTACATCATCATCATCGCGCATCGCGCCACCCTCCTACCACTATCGCTTGACCGTCGCTAATTTTGTGGCCGCAGCTTTAGACAAACATCAGTTATACATCAAAACGATTGAAATAGGTAGCTCTACATTTAACTATGGTTTACAAACTACAATTTAATTTTTAAGTTAATTTTCCATGTACGATTTTATCTATTTTAATTATATTTATCTTTAAAGTGTTGTATCATAACTGAATCGTAAAAAGGTAAAACATTAATTGCATGCACCTGCATTTCTACTTCCTTGTTGTATAAATCCGCCATTTCCACGACGGTAGAGACAAACCATTCCAGAATACTTGGCTCCCGCCATCTTGATGACGTGAATGATGCGTAAAGGTAATACAGATGTATGTTTTTCGACATTCTACGGAAGAAGTATAATAAATAACATTAATAAATATTTTCTCGAGAAATTAATATTAAAAAAATTATATAAAAATAATCACGATAGCCCGTTACATAATTTTTCCAATAATTTATAACATTGCAAGCACTGGGATTGTAGTCGATTAAAAATTGTGGTCATAATGAGTAAAAAAAATATTATCTAAGACTTCTGTTAACTTTTTAAAGTCCTTTAAAGCACCTATTTATCAATATCAGCAAAAGTAGGTTGAGGTAAACACGGGGTTGGCCCTTGAGCCAATCCAAAACCGCTAACAGTTAAATTATATGAGGTAAAAAGTAATACGGCGGATTTTCAGCCAAGTTACAATTTTTTCTTAGGCAGTTCACAAACCAACAAGCGTCCGCAAACAGTTACAAATCTTTCAAATAAGCTAACTCTCTTATAGTATTTTTTTCATCCTCGCATATGTATAATTTTGGAAAAATATTAAAGAGATTTAAATCTTACAGATAACGCTGAATATTGAATTCTTTACATAACTTTTTATCACCGAGTCAGTGATATAGTAAAACCATTTTACGTGGTAGAGCCATGCTGCAACTATATTAGTAGTATAGTTGTAGCACGAATGGGTCGGCTCGACCGGGGAAGGACCACGCTCTCACAGAATACCAGCGTAAATAGCAGCCTAATGGTGCTGTGTTTCGTATGGTGAGTGTAGGGAACCGGAGACTCTTTTTACTGGAAAAGAGGCATTCCATCATAGTCCTCAAGGCTGACAACGCATCTTCATTTTGATTTGCAAACGAGGATAGATGCAGATGTCTGTGGACCACAGCAACCACTTACCATCAGGTGGACTGTGTGCTCGCTTGTCACCCTTTTCCTATAAAAAAACCAACAACCAGTGGTGAAAACAATACCTCGCTCGGGGTAGATTTTGTACTGACAAATAGATATAGTATGTATGTATGTACACGTGTTTTGTAATACCATTCATATTGTAACTTTGCATTTATTATGTACAATTGCTCATGTTTTGATTTTATTTTGCTTTGGGTACCCAAATAAATAAATAAATGGGTACGTAGGGCAACCTATTAGGCGATACTGTATGAAGTTGACGAGCAGGTGAAAAACGCTATAAGTGGTGAATACTCAAGACAGTACTTTGTAGCAGAATTTGGGGAAGACCTATCCTCAGGAGTGACAGAAAAAGTAAACACTCTATCTTTTTCATCCGTAAAAGAGTTTTATAAATACAATATTTAAAAAAAATGTTTGAAATCCTCACCGTTTTTCAGATGGTATGCGGAACAAGGGGTGACTAACAAGATCCGAATGTTTACTCTCGTTGACAATCTCTAACAATTTCAGCGCCACCAACGGAAAGCGAAGTATAGCCCGCTGTAACAGCTGACAAGCTTCACTCTTGTCAACGCCTGGCAACAATGAACGGATTCGTTTTCAATTTTTTAGTATTTAACACAGTCAATATATTCAAAACTCATGGAGTCTGTTCCGAAAATATGTTCGATAATGGCTTTCAGTTATGAACAAGTTGAGATTATAGATATTTAACAATTTTTTTTAATATAAACCAATTAATCCTTAAAAAAATAGGTAGTAACTAAAGATTTTATAACATTTTTGACCAACATCTATCATCTTTCGCGGATTCAAATTAAATTAATAACAACATTTGTGCAAAAAAATATTAATTGGTCAGTTTTGGATGTACTCTCAGTGTCCTGCATATCTCCATCCAAGCTTACTTCAGCTCTTATCGCTTGAGTGTTTCATCGGACGTCTAGAACTCATCTATGTCTAGATTAAATCCTTTACGTTTGCACTTACATTTAGAATACTGTGTGGTTGATATGCTAAATGTATTTAAATTGAAATTTTTAGCCCTTAATTTTTGATACTTTTTACTGGAAATGAGCCATTTCATCTTCAGCACAGCACGCATAAGTGACAGAAAAAGTAAGTCCGGATTTTGTCTTTAATCGAGGATCAATATTAACAGTGGCAGAGCCACGCGGCAGATTTACTGTCGCACGTATGGGCCGGCTCAAACCGGGATGGTACCACGACCTCACAGAATACAGGCGTGAAGTGGAAGCTCTGCTTCCGCATTTCGTCTGGTGAGTGCAGGTGGCCGGAGGCTCAATTCCCCCCCCCATCAACATGGTAGCGGAATTAAATGATAGACTACCCCAGGAGGGTACCAGCACCCCTGGAGAATCCCTCGCTGAGCATCCACGACCATGTTTCTCCACTTCTGAGCGTGGGTGCTCAGGCTGCCTCGCGTATTCTGGGGGGGGGGCAATATTCCGCTCAAGACTAAAACTGCTCGGGGCAAACGGAGCAATAAGACCAAGGCGACCCCTGCCACGCTGTCCGTGAATTTCTGCAATATCAGGGGACTTCACTCTAAGCTAAACGCCGTCCACTACCATCTCGAGACGGCGAGGCCGGCTCTGCTCTTTCTGACCGAGACGCAGGTGTCCTCTCCGGCTGATGTCTCGTATCTCTCCTGCCCGGGGTACAAACTGGAACACTCCTTTGTGCCTCGGGCTGGAGTTTGCGTTTACGTCAGAGAGGACATCTGTTCTCGACGCCTCGGCAGTCTTGAAGGTTCGGACCTGTCCATCCTTTGGCTACGCGTAGACAGCGACGACCATCCGCGCGTCTACGGGTGCCTCTATAGGTCCCATAGCGGTAATGCCGAAACAGACCGACTCTTCGACCACGTCCAAATGGCTGCAGATTCGTTGCTACAGCAGATCCCCTCCGCAGAGATCGTGATCCTCGGCGACTTTAACGCCCATCACGCAGAATGGCTCGGTTCACGTTTAACCGATCATGCGGGGAGATCTGTTCATGATTTTGCCTTGGCATATGGTCTGACACAACTGGTTACTTCGCCTACGCGGATTCCAGATGTGGAGGATCATGCACCTTCCCTGTTGGACCTTCTGCTGACCTCTCACCCGGACGGATATCAGATTTCCGTCGACGCCCCTTTAGGCTCCTCGGACCATTGTCTTGTCCGGAGTGTGGTGCCACTCACGCTGAAATCGCGGTTGCATTCTGCAGGCTGCCGCCGTGTTTGGCACTATAGGTCAGCCGATTGGGATGGGATGCGGTCTTTCTTTGCATCCTACCCTTGGGGGGCGAGTTTGCTTCTCGCCGGATGATCCCAACGTTGTTGCGGATTCTGTCGCTGATGTGGTACTTCAGGGTATGGAACTTTTTATTTCTTCCTCTGTGGTGCCCATTGGAGGCAAATCTCAGCCATGGTTTGGTCGCTCCTGTAAAATAGCATCATGCTATAAGCAGGAGTGCTACCGAGCCTGGGCTGACGCATCAGCGTCCAGGGATGTAAACACCAGCGCTCTAAAAAAGAAGTATAATTCCGCCTCTAGGTCCTTCAAAAGAGTCATTGCCAAGGCAAAGTCAGAGCACATAGGCAGAATTGGCGAGAGACTAGTTCGTCTTCCTTCTGGAACCCGTGCATTCTGGTCTCTCGCCAAGGCTGTCCAGGGGAATTTCTGTCAGCCATCTCTTCCATCTCTGCACAGGGAGGACGACTCACTGGCCCACACCGGAAAGGAGAAAGCCGATCTTCTAGGCTCTTTCTTTGCGTCTAACTCGACTCTCGATGACGGGGGGAGTACGCCGCCGACCATCCCGCGGTGTGAGTGCTCCATGCCGGAAGGGCAGTTCACTCAGCGCTCGGTTCGCAAAGCACTCCTCTCCCTGGACATCCATAAGTCGAGTGGGCCTGATGGAATCCCCCCAATTGTGCTGAGGACGTGTGCTCCAGAGTTAGCACCGGTTTTAACGCGTCTTTTCCGGTACTCCTACTCCCTAGGCGTAGTCCCAAAATCATGGAAGACGGCTTCCATCCACCCGATCCCTAAAAAAGGCAACCGCTCAGACCCGTCCAACTACCGGCCTATCGCCATCACCTCCTTGTTCTCCAAAACAATGGAGTCCATTATAAACTGCCAGCTCATGAGGTACCTTGAGGATCACCAGCTGATTAGTGACCGCCAATACGGTTTTCGCCGTGGTAGGTCAGCTGGTGATCTTCTGGTCTACCTAACTCACAGATGGGCGGAGGCAGTAGAGTCCAAAGGGGAGGCATTGGCCGTTAGTTTGGACATTGCGAAGGCCTTCGATCGGGTTTGGCACAAAGCGCTTCTTTCGAAGCTCCCTTCCTATGGGCTTCCCGAGAAATTGTGCGATTGGACCATAGAATCTACTTACCATCAAGCGCACTGTATACTCATTTGTCGTACCACGAAATTGCACGTCACTCGATATGTCGAAACCAAAGATTACGATACAGGCTGAGGCAACAAGGGCAGTGCCTTGAAACTGAATAGATACGACGAAGGAGTTTTTTATAGCGATAAACGCGCAAATTTGTGTCTTTTGGGGTTTAAAATCGACTAAATTTACTCGCCCCCAGTCAGAGACTTTGTCAACAAAGTTTCAAATTCAGACACAAGTTTTTCCCGCTACTCAGCGACGTTTTCTCGAGAAATATTGGCACGGCCGGTGTACAAAGCATCACCAGTGCTGTCGTCTGCATAGCAATGAACGTTACCGCTTTGCAACATGTCATTGATACGCAGAACAAACAGCGTTGGTGATAGCACGCAGCTTTGTGGAATGCCAGCGTTAAAGGGCTTGTAATCGGAGCATGCACCGTCTACTACGACCTTGATGCTCCGATCAGCAAGAAAACTGGTGATCCAATTGCACAATTTCTCTGGAAGCCCATAGGAAGGAAGCTTCGTAAGGAGCGCTTTGTACCAAACCCGATCGAAGGCCTTCGCTATGTCCAAACTAACGGCCAACACTTCCCTTGGACTCTACTGCCTCCACCCATTTATGAGTTAGGTAACTCAGAAGATCACCAGCCGAGCGATCGCGACGGAAACCGTACTAGCGGTCACTAATCAGCTAGCGATCTTCAAGTTACCGCATGAGCTGGCTGTTAATAATGGATTCCATTATTTTAGAGAACAAGGAGGTGATGGCGTTATGCCTATAGTTGGATGGATCAGAGCGGTTACCTTTTATAGGGATCGGGTGTACGAGGGCTGTCTCCCATAATTCCAAGACTATGCAGAGGGAGTAGGAGTACCGGTAAAGACGCGTTAAAACCGGTACCAACTCCGGAGCACACGTCCTCAGCACAATAGGAGGGACGCCATCCGGCCCACTCGATTTGTTAACGTCCAGGGAGAGGAGTGCTCTGCGCACTGAGCGATGAGTAAACAGGACATCCTGCATAGTGCACTCACTCCGCGGGATGGTCGGCGGTGTGTTCCCACCGTCATCAAGAGTCGAGTTGGGCACAAAGAGAGAGCCCACCAGATCGGCCTTGTCCTTTGCGGCATGGGCCAGTGAGTCGTCTTCCCTGTGCAGAGATGGGAGAGATGGCTGACAGAAGTTGCCTTGGACAGCCTTGGCGAGAGATGAGAATGCACGTGTTCCTGGAGGCAAAGGCAGAATTGTACTTCTTTTTAAGATCGCTGGTATTTGCATCCCGAGACGTAGATGCGCAAGCTCAGGCCTGGTAACACTCATGCTTATGACGGTGTGTAATTTTGCAGGAGCGACCAACCCAAGGCTGGGTTCTGTCTCCGATAAGTACCACAGATGATGTAATAAAAATTTTATTTCCTGTATTGTAGATCGCATCCCGTCCCAATCTGCTGGCCTATAATGCCTATAATGCCAAACACGGCGGCAACCCGCAGTACGCAACTACAATGAGAGACAATGACAGACAATGGTCCGAGGAGCCAAGAGGGGCATCAATGGAGACCTGATATCTGTCTGGATGAGAGGTCAGCAGAAGGTCCAACAGGAAAGGTACGTGTACTTGGATCTGCGTAGGCGAGGTAACCAGATGTGTCAGACCATATGGCAAAGCAAAGTTATTAACAGATCTACCCGCATGATCGGTTAAACGAGAACCAAGCCATTCAGCGTGGTGTTTGCAAGATTCGAATTTAAATACCTTATAAAGAACTATAACTATACAATTATTTTGTTTTAAGTAAAAGGTTATTTTCATACGAGTACGCTTGTACAAAGTTATTGCGGTAATTAATGTGACACACAAAAAGGTATTTCTTAGATTTCGTTAAGTATAGCGTTAATAGAAGGACGTGTGTGTGAACTTTAGACCATTGAACCCAAGAGTAAACACACGTCCTTCTAATAACGGTGGAATCGGACTCTATGGACTTTAAAACATGGACCTTCTAGTATTGAATTTATTACAACACAATTAATTATATTTATAAGAATATACTCACTGCAATTTTTAAGGGCTAAATGATATTTGGCCATTGCATTTGAGTACTGAAAATTAAACATGAATTTGGCATCTCTTTCTTTCGACCAATAGGCAATGGCGTCGACGAGCCATTGATGCTCTCGGGCCTTCAATGCCAATGTGTCGATGATGAACAGTACAGCTAACGGATCGGTAGGATCCAGGTTCAGTAAAACTTTGGCTAGTTCTAAAGCAGTTCGATGGCAAGCCTTGTTAGTCAGTAGATGTATATACTTCAGAATTGCGATATGGAAGGGGCGGTTCTCGATGTATTTGTATTCCAAACGGGTTTTTATCTGAAAACAACCATTAATAAAAATAAATCTAATAAAGTAGCAATAAATCTTTTAAAAAAACTTATAAAAACTGTGTATATTATTTATTAATTCTGTATACGAGAAGAATGCTTCTTTCTTCCCATGGGTGTCATAAAATGTGGGAGAAATGCCCGTATGATGTGCAGACGCCAATAGATAGCACTATAAGTATGACGCGTATTAACATTTAAAGACGAAGTTCTGAGATAAAATAAATAATAATAACAATGTTTGTGCATACGCACATTCATAATACTGCCTTACCAAAGAAATAGCAATTTAATTTAATAAATTTAAATCATCATAAAACACCCACTTATCCATGATATGTTGCAAACTGGTAACATTCATTGCTATGCAAACAATAGCACTGGTGATGCCTTATATACCGGCCATGCCAATATTTTTCGGGAAAACGTCGCCGAGTACCAGGACAAACTTGTGTCTGGAGTTGACATGAAACATGTTTCATGGGCGGCGGTAAACACTTACCATCAGGTGAGCCGCATGCTCGTTTGCCCTCTCTTATATAAAAAAAAACAATAATGTAGTTGTCTCGAGTGCCAGGACTTTTTAGACTTTTCTCGAGACACGCTTGTTGAAATTGTATCGTCATAATTTCATTTTCAAAAGGTCATAGCATAGTAAGCTCTATTAGCTTTCCGCATTCGCCATCAATTGGCATGCATGCGTCATTTGAAGAGTAAATTTGATACTCGTTTTAACCAAGTTTTAACTATGAACTGTTATCAGAAACATGCTGCCGGTCATCTCTTGTTTCTGTGTGCCACAGGCACCTCTCACGACACCCGCGGCACGATATGTTCGGTGATGTGTTCTGTAGCGCCGCCATTACACAGTGCGATTTTTAAATTGTGTGTTGGCAAAAAAAAAATACATAAAATATTCTTTTCATGCAGATACTTACGTCACCCAGATTGAACGATGGATGGAATACTGACTGCATGTAAGCAATTATTTCTTCAAGAAATTTATTAGCCATGGAATATTCTTCCTCGAAGAATAGAAAGTCAACCGCCTGCAAGAGAGAAAATGTTTATAGTATTTTTATAATATTCCTTTTTTTTAAATTTCCATAATATAAAAAGGAAACGTAAATTAAGCACAATTACCGTAATCTAATGCTAACTAAACACGCGCCGAAACATATAAAAATTAATCTGATTTAATAAAACAACAACTAAATTGATTTACTATTTAAATTTACAATTTAATAAAACAAGAAATAATCTGTCTCTGTTTTGACGGAAGAAATTCTCGATGACATACAAAAAAAGTAAACTTTACGATGTGGAAGCCAATGTCAAAAATCCCGAAGTTTACAATGTCGCTACTAAGGGACCTCTCTATAAACAAACCATGTTTTATATTAAGATGGTCTATATTTACGCTTCTATTTGTTTAGTGGTATTGCAGCCACACCTAGTATTTAACCAACCTTTTGTTGTATTTGATATTGTTTGTAGCACCCGTGGATATAAGTGATAGTTATAGCAATCAATCCAACTCAAGGTGCTAGACCGACAGCCCCAGTGTTTTTCCGTGATCGGTGTGATTCTCACAGAGTGAACGTATTTCACCGTGAAAAAATGTTATTCTTTATTTAACATGCACACACACATATATATTATAAGCCCGTGCTTGACCACAATCCCACCCGATGGTAACCGTTAAGAAGCCCTAGAGTCCTAGAGAGTAAATCTCACTGACGTCGCGCGATTGTATTCAGACGGAAAGTCTGACGCTGTGCTTTGTGTTGCTGTACACATCCCAAAAAATGAAGTAAACCATTTGGTTCTAATGAGTGGAAATGGAATATCGACAACAAAGGGGTAAAAACACATCACAGAGAAAAATACTTAAAGAAAAGCTGGGCTATAGATTTCGAAAATGTAAAAATAAAAATTTTCTTGTACAAATACCGGATACAGCGGCTTGGAGAACATAAGGTAAAGTTATATGGAATGCCATAAGAACAAATATAACTAATAGAGAAAGAACCCATGGTAGAAGGATATGACATTGCAAATGGGTGTAATATTTTTTTATAGATTTGACAAATAAAGACAAACTAAATATGTCGAATAATTGTATGTGTAAACAATCCTGTAACTCTACTATATTATTCCGAGCCACGACTCCTGATGAAATTAAATTATATTATCTCTTCGAAACACTAATTCAGTGGGATATGATGTGTTACCGACAAAAATGTTAAAACTAAGTTCTATAAATATAGCATTAATACTTAGTCATATCATAAACTTATCTTTTACCCAAGGAATTTTTCCTGCAGATCCCAAGCATTCAGTGTTAAAACTCGTCTTCTAAAGGGCATCATCTCATCTTCTAAAGATATTAATAATTACAGAACAGTTGAAATAGTACCCATTTTATCAAAAGTTTTTGAAAAAGCAATACTTAAGACACTTGATAATTTTATGGAAAAATTTAATATTATTAATAACTTTCTAAATGGTTTTGTAAAAAATAAGTCCACAACATAAGTGACCTTCCAACTCGTTAAGTTTATTACAGAATACATTAATGACGGTGTACCAGAGGTAGCTCTTTTTTTAGATATGCGTAAAGCATTTGACTTTGCTCATCATGGAATACTTCTCAATAAACTCGAAAGATACGGAATACGTGGGAAAGCAAATGAATGGTTTAAAAGTTACCTCGGTCAAAGACAGCAATGCACTGAAATAACAAAGCTCAAAAATCTTAAAAAAATGCACATTCGGTCGGAATATTGGTTAAAATTATATGGTGTACTACAAGTAAGAATTCTAGGTTCTATACTCTTCCTAATATATATTAATGAGCTACCAACAAGAACTCCTCATAAAACGATTCTTTACGCTGATGATGCAACAATCATTCTTAAATGTACGAACAAAAAGCTTCTAGCTAAATTTGATATCAATAGTACGCTAAAAGAAATAATTGATTGGTTAAATTCTAACAATATAACTGTAAATATATATAAAACTACAATAATGCAATTCCACGCGACTAGAAGTAAGCAAATTAATTTAAATATAATGTGTAATTAAAAAGTGCTACAAGAAGTTGATCATTATAAATTTCTTGGTGTCACTATTGGCAATAATTGTAATTGATAAATGCATGTTCATTCGATATGTGACAATTTAACAGATTTGTATTTGCGCTTCGCCGACTTCGAGAAATAGCATCTGCCAAAGCAGCGTTAAACGCCTATCATGGCTAGGTTTCATCGATGTTACGGACGTACGGACTTCTGATATGGGACAACTGTTCTGAAATAGAACGCGTATTTAAAATCCAAAAAAATTCATTCGAGCAATCCGTGGAGCACATTCCATGAAAGAAATAAAAAAATAAATAAAAAAATAAAGAAAAATAAATAAAAGTACTGCCACTCGCATGTATGTATATAAAAGAAGCCTCGATTTTTGTCAAGCAATTCCCTAAATACTTCCCAAGTAATAATTTTTAAGAGATAGAAATTTAAGAGAAAAATCTAATAACAGAATATACTTTCCAAAATGTAAATTGATGCTCTTCCCAAAAAATTCATACATAATGGCGATTAAAATCTTTAAGTCTTTACCCGACAAGTTTAAAAATTTCTCAATGACAAAGTTAAAAAACAAACTTCATGAATGGCTTTTACTTAATTGTTTCTATGCTGTTAATTGGTATCTTGATCAGAAAAATCAAAACAAATTACATATATCTGTATCTAAAAATGCTTCAATTTTTTTCTGTGAGTTTATAAAGGATTTCGATAGTTATAGAATAATTATTAGTTAGTTATTTTTACTGTTTTTACATATGAACATTTATATTTTGACATTTGTAAACGATTGAGTGACATTGTTTTCAGTATAATTAATCTTTTGACATTTATTTTATTATCGATTGGGCATTTTTATATTACATTAATAAGTTAAATTACTTCATAGAAAACGCAGAACTAATTTACAAATGTAAGAATTCCGCGGGTAACTAACATGCCGACATGAATAGCGATAAATTTTTGGAATAGATAAACGAAAAGTTCATTCCAAACCTACCGGCTTGTAAAATATAATAGCATAGTAGTTATTAATAATGCTCCTTACCATAGCCAGCAGTACAAAACATTGACTTATATATTACTAGCGTAAGGACCGGGCCGACCGAACAACTAAAACGGACCAGAGCGCTGGCCCTAAAACTACAGTTTAAGCCCAACGCGACTCGGTCGACAGTGGTCCGCGCGCAGAACAGATTTGTCAGTCACAAATATGTTGTCCAGTTGCGTGGTAAAAGAAAGCAAAAACTACGATACAAAGATATAAAAAAAAACTAGTAGTAACCCTTATATTAATTTTGTTACAATTAAATTAGTATATAAACACATTTTTAAAGTTTAATTTTTTTTAGCTTTTAGTATAGTAACGTTACAAAGATTGGGCCAGAGTTGGATTCTAACCCTAAAATATTGTACATGGAAAATAAAATTATAAGTACTATTTTAAAAAATAATATCACGTTTGACGTTTCATGTTTCTTTTTTCCCATGTGGTTTTTTGACGGGTTTCTTTTCTGTTTAATTTTTGTCTAAAGAACTTAGTATAAGTTAAATTTTGAGTATTGTACTTAATATATTTTATATTCAATAAGGGTAAAACGAAAAGAGTACAAAAGAAACCATATCTGCTTATTTGAATCTGAAAATCTGATTCATAAAATATTTTCAAATTCTGTTTTTAAACCGATTGCTTCTGGAGCACAGAGTTTGTATCGTGGTTTTTATCATGACCCCTCATTGTAGTTGTATTAAGAATGCAACATAAATGCATCGGTCGAGCATCGATTGACCAGTAAGGGAGCTAATTCTAATTTTATTAATAAAACGCGGTACTCATGTACAATAGAGAAATTCTCGATGTCGTAGGGTTAATATTAAAATATAAAAGGACCCAATAATAATACAAGTCGACCTTTAGGTAAAATTATGGTATTTTCGCTTAGTATTATTACGATACTATGTACTACAAACTATGAAATAATGATACAATTAGGGTAATTATACTACGAAATCCAACCTTGGTTACGTCGTATTTTGATATGACGTTTGTATTATGACAGATGCGCTACTTTTTCTTGTATGAAAAGGTTATGAGTAAAATATTTAGATGGGTTTGGTGCGTGCGTGCGTGCGTGCGTGCGTGTGTGCGTGCGTGCGCGACTACCTTATATATATATATATATATATATATTTGTAATAGGTGTTAGGGTTCATTTTGGGTTGTAAGAGTTTGTGCTCACAGAAAGACGTGATTACTACGTGATGATTTATTTGCGACTGTTTTACAAATTATGCCTTTAAATATTGAACCTATTCCCACATGCATACGTATTCACAGTTACGCTCACTCTTACACTCATATAGATCATTATATCCGAACATACCGCCCACCAAAGGGTCTATGAGCCCTTTAACAATTTTATTACACGTTACAACGTTTTGATTACAATAGATTTAAAGATAACACAAAAGAAAAAATAAAGACACAAAATCTGTACACAATTAAACATATAAAATATAGATAAACACAATTTTCCTTAGTTATAAGTAAAATAAATCATGATTCAATGTCTATTGGTAAGTAACACAGCTTATTTACAGATCTTTGCACGACACTAGCACCACTTTTTACACTGTATACACGAGTGACACCGTCAGAACCCGGATGTTTTTTTTACAATGCGTCCCATCATCCATTTACCTGGGGACAAACTATCTGATTTTATGAGGACAATGTGACCTATGTCAAATTCCTTGACCTTCCTTTGCCATTTCGGACACTGTTGCATTCTCAACAGGTATTCTTGTTGCCATCGACGCCAAAAGTCCATCAACAATCTTTGTTGGTACTGCCATCTTGATAAGTGACTTGTTGGAATGTTTTGGAAGTCTGGTGTCGGAACCGTAATAGGTGTCTCACCGACAAGGAAATGGCCAGGCGTTAACGGTTGGAT